GCTTACGAGAGTGGTCGCTTACGAGAGTGGTCGCTTACGAGAGTGGTCGCTTACGAGAGATTTTTTTACAGAGTTTATATGGGGAACAAAACGGGAAATTCAAAAAGTGGTCGCTTACGGGAGATGGTCGCTTACGAGAGTGGTCGTTCAAAGAGAGTCGACTGTACGAAATCCAGGATTACACTTTCATGGGATGGTAGGTAGTCGGTATAATCCCCACCCCACCCCTCTAAATCGGATAAACCTGTATATAGTAAATAGTGAAGCAAAGTTATCTTTGGTGTAGACCACATAAAACAATATGGCAGAGCAGCAACCTCATCCCCAGGGCAGCAGCAGTAAGGGGGACTCGCGGAGGGGGTCCCATATCGTCTGGGTATTGCCCGTGCCAAGTAGCATGTGAGTYCCGCGGGTATTCCCCGGGTTGCACCTAATTGCGAGGAGCCCCTTACTAGAGAAGAGTTTTTTCCATTGCTGTAACTATGGACCAAGTYGCAATAGACTTCATAAGAGGATGCAACTTTCCATTTCACGGGTATGGCCGTGTTTGGTAATCGTCTTGCCCGAGGCACATAATTAGAAGAGTGTATTTTTTYCCCACGTTTCGGCAACCATTTTCGGCTACCTTTTCTACCCCACACGGGTTTTCGACCTCTATATATAGAAGATGGAAGAGCAAAAGAGTATTTCGACAACATTGCAAGAGATGGGCATACGAGCAAAAAGTAGGCTACTAGCGCATTTGCTGTTGGACAATGCCTGCGACGGGAACCTATTGCCCGACATATCCAAATGCAACTACCTGCGGAACAACGAAGGTRCTACGAGTTTGCAGCCGCTATCCGGATTGCCGCCTTTCGTAGACGACGTGTTTGTCTATGGTTTTTTAGCAGAAGAGAATTTGTATGGGAAGAAACTACTTTGCAGGAACGCAAAGACAATAGTGTCGAGAATATCCATTGCGGCCACGGAGACGTTTGGGACGTTCCTGCCAACCAGCATAGTACACACATGCAGACAGGGAAACATAGTAGACCGCGTTTCCAGCATGGATTCCGGGGGCAAGTGGTCCAGTTTGTAWGGGACGGAGCCCGCTGCTGTCTTCGTAGCCAAAGTAGATACCTCCGAATTGCCTATAGAAGTCGTAGACGAGAAGATTTCCACGTTTGCCAGGCTGCAACGCGCGCACGGATATGGAAYATACTCCATAGACTACACGCAGGATTTCTCCGGAACTTTGCATAGAGTCGCATTGGTATGTCGTTTGCGGGAGGTGGGATACGTGTCGCAGCATAGTGGCGGTTGGCGCAACGGTACGATTTTGGAGAACACGCATGCTGTGGGAGAAYATGTTTGCACTTGGATGGAAGACGGCAAACGGACGAAGATATACAACAAAATAGTATCCAACTTCGAAGCCGGAGAAGTGCAAAATCCACTAGGCGCAAAGTTGGCAGAGTACGTGGATTGTCCAAACGAACACCTGCGTAGGACATTCCTGCACCCAGATGTGCAGGCGAGAGGATGTACCAGAGTGGAAATATCCATCTACGGCAAAGACTTCTCCAAATCCCACACCAACGCTATTGCGGAGACGCTAGAACCTTTGCAGGACATATTCGTAGTACAGCCGCCAAAGAATATGTGGTTGGCKCTCGCAGAACACTTGGATAGATGCTGCTGCATTTGCTGCGAAGAGACGGGAGAAATATTCCTAGCGTGGTACTGCAATTTGGGAACAAGACGCATAGCCGGCGTGCGAGTTCGAGGCAACGAAAAGTGGGAGCAATGCGTACTTTGGACCATAGCAGAGTTTGGATTGCGTCGTTGTCCTATCTTTCGCGTGGACATCCTAGGAACAGACCCGGTGGAGATAGCTCCGCTTCGCTGCTACACGAAAGACTCTCCTACCATACTGGCGGAGTCTAAGTTTCCCACTCGAGTGCACACAARTGCCCCCGCCATCGCTACGATGCTTCCCGCCACGGAGCACGTAGAGTGGGTTTGGCGCACGAAGAAGGCGCAAAGGATCGGAGTGGACAAGAGTCCCTTCGGAATACTAGAAGTGCCTTCCAGCCGCAGGATATCCTTCTTGTCCAAMAGACGACGACARCAAAGATTGGAAGACATASGGGACGATTTGGAAGGAGACGAGTGGGTCGAAGCCACGAAAAGATACCACGCAGAACTCCTGGAGCWAAGGAACTCCGTACTGCGGCAAAAGGAAGAGGACAGRAAAGCCATAGAGAAAGAGTTGGAAAAGTACAGAAAGCTATTGGATAGAATTTCCAGGAGAACCAAAAACCTACGCGGATTGTTCTTCGAAGGCCCCGAGTCCTACCTGGAGGGATACGAGAGACCCAAAGTACACCGAATGCAAGAAATACCCGCAGGGGAGTACAAAATACTAGGCTACGCAGTACCCAAAAACGTAGATGCCGTTTGGTTGGCAAGAGGACACCGCGTAGCATTGCGAAAAGGCAAAAAGACCTGCATTGCGTGGGCTACGGAAGCTATACTGGAAGCGTGCGCGGCTGGAAAGTTCGAAGCAGACGAGAACATGCGTGTCGCCATTCCGGGAGAAGAAATATTGGTGGAGTGGAAGAACAACATAGCAACTGCATTCGTACACGAAGGACCCGGTCTGGACACGTACTACGAATTGGCTAGGAAAGTAGACTATTCGATTCCCAGAAATCCAGAAAGACTACTAGAAGTGCCGGCGCCGCCAAACAAAGAATGCGTGCAGGCGCTGCRCATGCAGGARGGYGAGTACCAATGCTGGARRTACGCCAAAACCACCTAYAGAAAAAARGAAAGGACRATTCTGTTCCTTTCGCAGAAATGTCCAGAGTGCGTWTTGGAGGGCTGTACGGTAGAACATGCTACTACTCCGGTCTGGGGACACTTCTTGGAGACGCAAAAAATAGACTGGACAGCGCAGCCGCCTTTGTACTGCAAAATAGGCAGGGAAAAGACAACCAAGGCAAAGAAGAAAGACCGACTGGTGCACGTGTCTACTCCATCTCCGGAATCCTAGACTTTGGTTTGGGTGTTTCTGGGCGCGCATAGTAGACGACTTTGGGTGGTTGCATGCGCGCCCAAACGACGGCAGCAATGCCTACGACTGCAAATAGCACATTGCTACCTATTTGCCAGTCTATCTTTGTGGATACTTCCTCTACTTCGTCGGACAAATCCTCTACGTCTATTTTCTCGAACGAATCCTCCATGTCGTACTCCTGGTCCATCTTGGCTAGCAATTCCTCCTTCGCAGCCCGTAGTTCTTCTCTAGCTTTTTGGAGATCGTCCAGGACTATAGCAAAGGAATCCTGCACTTCTAGGAAATGTTTCTGCAAATCCGTAGTTGGTGGCTTTTCGGGMATTGCTACCTCCAAGCCATTTTCTCGCTCTATCCTGCGTATCTTTGGTATGCCTATGCCGTACTTTTTGGCTACCTTCTGCAGCCCTACGCCATTTCTCCTATCTTCCAACAATCCTGCTATTTCTTCCTCGGATAGTATTTTGGGTGTTGCCATATATATCTACGAATACGGTTCGGACATAGGCAAATACTATGGGGTATTCCGTGGGTCCATAGGATATAGACATGTATCTCTACATAGCTATGGGTATGGTCGCATACATGCTAGGAAAACAAAGGACGACACAGATACTTTTGGAGATCTTAGAAGGTCTCTACAGAGCGCAAAAGACATTGCAAGACGTACGTAGCCACTTTGGCGCAGCTACCGCGGCAAAGATAGCTGGGGCACTGTTTCGATGCTCTTGGTGTCTACGCAGATAGTATTTTTCTATAGTCGCGAACATAGTAGTTTCGAAAAACTCTCTATAGCAATTCTTCCATATATCTAGGGAGCGGTGTTTCGCAGCCCCTGCTATCCTACGGTGGATCCTGGGGATT